GAGATAGACTGGAGGGGTGAGAGAGAGAACAAACCGTTTGGTGAGGAAAGCAGGTGCGCCAAGCATACCTGTGAGAAGGTCACAGTTCCCTCCTAGCTTTAGAACTCTCAAGGACCCTAGTCACCTGAAAACTCAAGCAGACAAAACTCAAAATCACCCAGTGTGCTTTGCAGCAAGAGCTCCTTCACATGCAAGGCACGCTGCGGATCCACGGTTGTGCAAGGTTTGTTTTAACTTTGGCAACCCTGGATATGCTCATCACCCCTGCTCCACTGCCTGGCCCCAGGGACCAACAGCAAGGAGGTTCCAGGTATTTGTCCAGGCTGGAGCTGAAGTCTGGATCCCATGAGAACGGCAGAGCTAGGGCCATGGGCCAGGTGCTAACAAAATACATACAAAGTGCCAGTCTGGGTCTACTTACACAGGCCAAGACAGACCCGACCCCAGGGAAAGAAATGACTAAGGTTTTCTCATTCTCAAAGCAAGCAACATTAATGGAAAAACAGCATGTTCCAGAAGAACTCTCACTCACAGAGACACAGACAGACAGACACCCTCACCAACTGGAAATGGGCCAAGGTAAGCACCTGGACTGAGAATGGGAAGCTGAAGACAAAGCCACACAGCAGGGCAATCCCAGAGTCGCCTGTCTGGCTTTCAACCGTGTCCTGTTGTCGCCTACACCACTCAAGTGCCGGGCCAGGCCAAAGCAACCTGGGCACACTTCTTGTGTGCTGTGGCTATTCCCACCAGTGACAGGCTCACGGCCCCTCAGGCCACACTCTGCAGGGTGTGTTAAAGGAGCTGGGCTTTCTGCTATGAATTTTCTTCTAGAATGCCAGAGCTTGCACCCAAAGACAGATCTCAGTTGGCAAGCTCTTAGGCCTGCGGAATAGCATACTGGAAGCTCCATTTTAGGTTTGTTTTTGTTTTTTCAGCCTAGATAAAGCCTTTCCACCCAAGGCTCAAGGCTTCTGTAGTCAGAAAGCAAGCCCCAGAGTACTGCTATCTGATCACATTGGTCCTTGCTGGACAGAGTTAGCAGTGGGGTATATGTGAACAGTCTCTAACTTCTAGCCAATGAGGAACACTAATAGCATGCAAAATGTGGGCTCAGTGGGGCGGTCATGAAACAGAACATACTCCTTCAGTCTCCACAGCCTCTTGTCATGTGACAGGCCCTTGCTCACTGCTTCCCACACACACCTTTGTCTGGTGTACCTGGCTATTCTGACAAATGAGGAAGGACACAGGTTCAAAGAGCTCGCCCATACGCCCTGGCCTGTAAGTGCAAACCTAGCAAGTCTGGTTCCTGATCCTGAGACCCCGGGACAGAGGGGCTCTTGGGCAGAGCCATTCTGAGACCATCCCATACCCAGATCCCCTGTCTCTTTATCAGGAGACAGTTCTAAATGAGCATTGCCTGGGGGCTCCAGGACTAGGAAACCAGCAAGCGGGACCCCACTCACTTTGTTCCCATACTGCATGACGTGGCTAGTGTTGGTGTGGGACTTCACCAGGTGGTACTGCTTATGGAGCGTCTCTTTGGTCAGGTCCTCCTGCAAGTAGAAAAACACGCAAGTCCTTTGAGGACCCGAGCCTGAGGGCTACGCCGCAGCGGGCTGGCCGGCCCCAACCAAGGGTCTTACCACGTCGGAGTCTTCCATCCAATTGACACTGTACCAGTCACCCAGGTATGTGTTTCTCTCCTCATCATAGTAGCAGGCGTAAGAGGACTCGTTGGGGTTGGCGGCAGTAGTTGCATAAACTATGGCAGATTAAAGGTATCTTTGAAGCGTGTTTTACTCCTGGCCTTGGACAACCCTTCAAACTGGGGTCCCTCCTTTCCCCTGGTAACTTCAAAGCTATACTCAACACTGGTGGAGCATGGCCCTGTCTATTCAGAACAATAACTCCTCTCAAACATGGAGGGAAGACAGAAGTAAGGGACTCTTGTTGCAGCTCCGAGCAAAATCTTGTGTACTTGTATGTTTAGAATATAACTTCGGGGAAGAGGGCTGACAGGTTTTAATGAATTAGGAAACTCGAAGAAAATGGGCGCAATTTGGTTTCTAGGGAGGGTTGACAATTATTTAGAAAACCCTGAAATAGGGGGCCGAGGGGGGTACAGCAGAGTGCTTGTGAGAAGGTGTGAGGCCCTGCAAAACAGTTGAACTAAACAAAACAAACAAGCCAAGGATGGCAGTGCATGCCTGGAATCCCAGCACTTGGGAGGTAGAGGGAACATCAGGAGTTCAAAGTCACCCTCAGTTATATAGCAAGTCTGAGATCAGCCTGGACTATAGGAACTCTGTCTCATACAAACCACTCAGCTGGCCAAGACCCTTATAGTGTCTGCGTTTAAGACGCGACTCTTACCATGCAGGCAGTCACTATCCCCACATTCAGGGACCAAGTCACCTAGCTGCCTGAGATCAGGGAGACTGGGTGGCCAACCCATAACCAAGGAACAGCTGGTCAGTCTGGGCAGTCACTGGAAAGCTTGCATAAACTCTTAACTCTACCTGGTCCAGTCTGGGCAGTCACTGGAAAGCTTGCATAAACTCTTAACTCTACCTGGTCCAGTCTGGGCAGTCACTGGAAAGCTTGCATAAACTCTTAACTCTACCTGGTCCAGTCTGGGCAGTCACTGGAAAGCTTGCATAAACTCTTAACTCTACTTGGTCAGTCTGGGCAGTCACTGGAAAGCTTGCATAAACTCTTAACTCTACCTGGTCCAGTCTGGGCAGTCACTGGAAAGCTTGCATAAACTCTTAACTCTACCTGGTCCAGTCTGGGCAGTCACTGGAAAGCTTGCATAAACTCTTAACTCTACCTGGTCCAGTCTGGGCAGTCACTGGAAAGCTTGCATAAACTCTTAACTCTACCTGGTCCAGTCTGGGCAGTCACTGGAAAGCTTGCATAAACTCTTAACTCTACTTGGTCCAGTCTGGGCAGTCACTGGAAAGCTTGCATAAACTCTTAACTCTACCTGGTCCAGTCTGGGCAGTCACTGGAAAGCTTGCATAAACTCTTAACTCTACCTGGTCCAGTCTGGGCAGTCACTGGAAAGCTTGCATAAACTCTTAACTCTACCTGGTCCAGTCTGGGCAGTCACTGGAAAGCTTGCATAAACTCTTAACTCTACCTGGTCCAGTCTGGGCAGTCACTGGAAAGCTTGCATAAACTCTTAACTCTACCTGGTCCAGTCTGGGCAGTCACTGGAAAGCTTGCATAAACTCTTAACTCTACCTGGTCCAGTCTGGGCAGTCACTGGAAAGCTTGCATAAACTCTTAACTCTACCTGGTCCAGTCTGGGCAGTCACTGGAAAGCTTGCATAAACTCTTAACTCTACCTGGTCCAGTCTGGGCAGTCACTGGAAAGCTTGCATAAACTCTTAACTCTACCTGGTCCAGTCTGGGCAGTCACTGGAAAGCTTGCATAAACTCTTAACTCTACCTGGTCCAGTCTGGGCAGTCACTGGAAAGCTTGCATAAACTCTTAACTCTACCTGGTCCAGTCTGGGCAGTCACTGGAAAGCTTGCATAAACTCTTAACTCTACCTGGTCCAGTCTGGACAGTCACTGGAAAGCTTGCATAAACTCTTAACTCTACTTGGTCCAGTCTGGGCAGTCACTGGAAAGCTTGCATAAACTCTTAACTCTACCTGGTCCAGTCTGGGCAGTCACTGGAAAGCTTGCATAAACTCTTAACTCTACCTGGTCCAGTCTGGACAGTCACTGGAAAGCTTGCATAAACTCTTAACTCTACTTGGTCCAGTCTGGGCAGTCACTGGAAAGCTTGCATAAACTCTTAACTCTACCTGGTCCAGTCTGGGCAGTCACTGGAAAGCTTGCATAAACTCTTAACTCTACCTGGTCCAGTCTGGACAGTCACTGGAAAGCTTGCATAAACTCTTAACTCTACTTGGTCCAGTCTGGGCAGTCACTGGAAAGCTTGCATAAACTCTTAACTCTACCTGGTCCAGTCTGGGCAGTCACTGGAAAGCTTGCATAAACTCTTAACTCTACTTGGTCCAGTCTGGGCAGTCACTGGAAAGCTTGCATAAACTCTTAACTCTACTTGGTCCAGTCTGGGCAGTCACTGGAAAGCTTGCATAAACTCTTAACTCTACTTGGTCCAGTCTGGGCAGTCACTGGAAAGCTTGCATAAACTCTTAACTCTACTTGGGGGTTTTTTTTTGTTGTTGTTTTTGCTTGTTTTTCGAGACAGGGTTTCTCTGTGGCTTTGGAGGCTGTCCTGGAACTAGCTCTTGTAGACTAGGCTAGTCTCAAACTCACAAAGATCTGCCTGCCTCTGCCTCCCCAGTGCTGGGATTAAAGGCATCCACCACTAACACCCAACCAACATAGACTCGTTTTTTAATATTTTTTAATATTTATTTATTATGCATAGTTTTTTATCTGTTTACATGCTTGTACGCCAGGAAAAGGCACCTGATCTCATTATCGATGGTTGTGAGCCACCATGTAGTTAGTGGGAATTGAACTCAGGACCTCTGGAAGAACCTGCAGTGCTCTTAACCTCTGAGCCATCATCTCTCTAGCCCCCCAACATAGACTCTTCTTGACAGCACTGTTTTGGGTGGTGGTTGTAGTTGTTAGGATTTTATTTTTATTTTGTATGAGTGTTTGCCTATTTATGTACCTTGAACCTAGGGAGCCAGCAGAGGGCATCAGTTCCCCTGAAACTGGAGTTATAGGTGGTTATGCACCTCCATGGCCCCAAGCCCGGGTCTTCTACGAGAACACGGGTGCTCCTAGCCACTAAGCCGGGTCTCCAGTCCCCAAAGAATCTTTATTCCCTATGAATACTTGTGGGGCAGAAGCAGCCGGATCTGGCCACAAGCATGTCCTCCATCTGCATATCAGGCTGCCCTCAGTGGCCCTGCGCAGGTGGGAACACATGGTCTCAAATGGGCAGCACCTAAGGACAACCACACTCAGCCTGCTCAACACTTACCATTGATGTCATTGGGCAGGTGGTTCATCATGGAGCCAGACTCACAAGCTTCAATGTAGAACACCATCTGCAGGGGCGTCCGAGACAGGTGAGCGCCCAGCAGGCAGTGCCAGCCAATGGGCTGTCACGTCACTCTCCATCCCTGCCCACTATCCTGTGCTCTGGATTTGGGAAGCCACTGTTGCTGGACAGAACCATTGCCAAAGGCTACGAAAGCCATTTGACAAAAAGTAATCACATTTCTTCACTAATGGAGTAAAGTGATCTGCATTAGCAGAGCGCAGGAAAGACTGGAGCCTCAAAACGCTGAAGACACTGATTCTATACCTCCAGAGAGCCAGGTCGCAAGGCGGCCATCTTTCTGCATTAACATCATATATATACACCACCCTCTATAGTTCCTACAGAGTGCAGAGAGGAAAACGCAAGGGGGGCAGAGAATAAGGTAGTGGGTGTCCCTCCAATTGTCCCAAACTGGGGTAGTCTCAGGAGCAGCAGTCTTCCCACGAAGTCCCCATCCTGCAGCAGCTAATTCACAGCCCCTGTAAGACCTGCTAGGTCCAAGCTGAGGGTGAAGGTCACACTGTGTTGTAACAAGCTCTCTAGGAGGTATAGTGAATCCTGGGACACCACTGGTCAAAGCTAACCAGGTGAAACCCTGTCCAGAAAGTCCAGCGACCTGTCCAAGTGCCACCTGTGCCAGTGTAGGCTTCGCTCCTCGAGCTCCTCCCTCCCCGAGGCACTCAGGCACTTAAGTTACCTTCTGGTACATTTTGTGTTCATACATGTAGCGAATGGTCTTGTTCAGGTCCTTGACATGAAGCTGAAAGGTAAGAAGGTGGCCATTCAGACCAGCATCCCAGAGAAGCCACCAACACCTTATAAAGTCCTTTTCCCAATCAGTGAAAGAAACCACAGTGAGCCGTGAAGTCTAGAACGCCATCTCGGCCATCCCATGTACACACTGAAAGACAGGAGAAGACCCTTCTCCATGCACAGGTTTGTCCTCGGCACTCAGACCTCCTCGTACTGTGTCGTCTGTGACATACTCAGCCCTGACTGACACTGTGGCATGGAGAGAAACAGCTAGAAAATTCAGCTGCAACACTTGTCCCGCACACCCCAGCGCAGCATTGCTACCAACCTTGCGGAACATCAGAAAACACATAGGTTTCCTCTCAACACACAGGCCTTGTTTTCTGCTTTCCTTTACATTCTAAAGATAGATGAAACTGTCCCTGTCATGTCTCTTTAAAGACTTAAGAAGAGGGCAGTGAGAGGGCTCAGATGGTAAGAGCTTCGCTGCCAAGCCTGATGACCTGAGTTCGATCCCCAGGACCTGCGGGATGGAAGATGAGAACCGACTCCCAAAAACTGTCCCTCTTTGACCTCCATGTGTGTGACATGGCACACATGCACATAAATAAATGTAAAAATCAATGTTTAACAATGTTTAAAAATCAATGTTAAGAAAAATGGCCAAGGGCATAGCTCAGTAGTACAGCACTTGACTAATGTACACAAGGCTCTTCATTCAATCCCCATGTCATGACAATGACAACAACAAAAGCCTACAATCAAAATGGTAAGCAGAACTCACATCATCACTAGGGAACACCAGGATTCCAGTGGCTCCATGGTCTGTGAAGTAAACAAACACATGATCCCGGGGACCACTGCCAAGAGAGGACAGAAGAGAGTGAGCCAGAGAAGACACAGCTTCCCTCCCGTTCCTGTTTCCCTGCCCATGTCCCTGAAAAGCTGCCTTCATCACCAAGTTAAGTTTGAGCAGGGCATGGTAGGACGTGCCTTTAATACCAGCACTTGGAGGCTAGAGGCAGACTGATCTCTTGATCTATCTAATAAGGAGTTCCAAGCCAGCCAGGACTACATTGTGAGACCCTGTCTCAAAAAGCACAGAAAGGGGAAATACATGCACATACATGAATGGCAGGCACATGCTAATAACTCTAGAGGCTGAGTCGGGCTACAAGTTCAAGAGCAGCCTGGACAATTTAGTGACACCCTGTATCAAAAAACAATGGGATGGTATGTTAGGGAGAGGCAGGCATTTGGGGGAGGGGGGCTGGCTAGGGTTGTAGCTTAACAATACATGCATGAAGTCCTATGAGGGACCCTGGATGACAGGGGTATGTGACACAAACAGCCTTGTGTGACCTTATCCTGGGTCAAGACAAAACTGCTCTCTCTAACTTCTCGAAGGTGACAGGAGCAAAGAACCATGCCCCTTTAGGTCCTCTGTGTAAGGATGCAGCCTGAAGAGTGTGGAATCCGCAAAACAGACGGTAGGTACCTCCTCAGGACTTTTCCCGACCCTTTGCCCTTCACAGCCTCTGCATCGCCTCTTAGCACGGCGAGGAAGTTCTCCGGAGTCACATCCTACAAGGAACCGGGAGTCAAAGCCAGAGCAGCTGTTACTTTAGGCACATTTTATAGAGTGTGACAGGCCCAGGGCACCCAGCTTCCAGCTCCATAGTAACACCAGGCCAGGATGACGTTCCTCAAGCCCAGGCCCTGTGAACTGTGAAAATGCCATCTTGTTTGGGGCAGGTGGCAACTCACCAAGCCTTTCATGAAGTGGGGGACCGCCCCCACCCCTGAAAGAAAAGATTCTGCTAACACAGGAAGAAAATACTCAGAGGGCAAAAGAAGAGGACGTAAAGGGTCAGGGTCTCCAGCTTGCTACCTCAGAGCACCAGCCCCACCGGTACTAGATGTCCAAGGACACTTGATCATCAAAAACAATGCGAAAATAGGAAAAAAAAACCACATCACCCCCAAAATTCTATCACCTAGGATTTAAACAACCCTATAGATCTATACAGAAAGAAATTATCCCTTGAGATGAGATCCACTATATTGCATACATATTAAATTTACATTTGAATTTAAGAGATCATAAGTGAAACAAAGCTGAAAGAAATGCTAAGCTTTGGGTCAATGTTTCTTTGCCTTGTAAGACAACCTTAGGAAGTTAAGAAAAAGAACAGTATAAAGACCATAAATGACAATTTATACAGTATCAATAAATTGGGAGGAAATTAACCATTTGGGGAGAAATATATTAGAATATTAATTTTTAAAAGATCGGTCTTTAAAGCCAGGCAGTGGTGGCATACACCTTTAATCCCAGCACTTGGGAGGCAGAGGCAGGCGGATCTCTGAGTTTGAGACCAGTCTGGTTTACAGATGGAGTTCCAGGACAAAGAACCTCTGTCTTAAAATCTCACCACCACCACCCCCCCAAAAAAAACTATCTTCAGGAAAATCCTGACAGATTTTGTGCTAGGTATGGGCTTAGGAAATTGATTTTTATAAAAGAGCACACATAATCTTTAACTCCATAACACCTCAGGAAATTCAGGGTTGTCACCAAAGGAAATACATACCATGCTTGATACATGCAAAGACTAGCATCTAAATAGCAGTAAACTCTAACCTTTTTAGAACACTTGCCCGTTTTTCCTTTTCTCTGTTCACTTCCAAAACACTGACTAACTAGAAACAGTAGCATGTACCTATGGTCCCCATTTTTGGGGAAGAAGAGGCAGGAGAATTGCGCGTATCCAGGAGTTCAAGGCTAGTTTGAACCCAAAAAAGAGACCCTACATCTCAAAAACCGACACAAACAACTAAGGCTGAGAATGTGACTAGATTATACGAAGCCCTGGTTACAGCCTCAGCTCTCTCTCTCCAAGGAAATCTCTCCCCACTCATTTCTCAAGCACAAATAAGGGAGGGGGAGATAGCAATGAACTAAGTAAGACCCAAAGCCACTGGCTTCAGGTAAGCATGCCCTTACCTCTCCTGTATAATCCTTCAGGACTCCTGCATACACATCTGTGCCATTGGGCCGGTTGATCACAATACCTGGGGTAGGGTTCCTGAAAATTAAAGAACAATGTTATAACACAATATGTGTCTCCCTTCGACACACGCTATTATATGAAAAAACAGCAGACAACTCTGCTCCTGAAGACACTTCCTGTCACCTGGTTAGGCACCAGTGCATGTGGTTTGGGCAGCTGGGGATCTCAGCAACCTGAACCCAAGAGAGCAGAGAGGAAACGAGATCTTAAGCCTTGAACAGGTGGCCATGGGTATGTTCAGACTTAGTGATGCTGGAGTTCAGGTTACTGCTCATAGTTAAAAGTTGAAAAACCAAGTGAAAACTGTAAACTGCGTTCATGATTTTAACTCACCCTCCTTTGTTTATTAAGCCGAGAGAATGTTTGTGAATCTCTAGCTCTACTTTCCCTATATGTTTCCAAGAAGCAGTCATACCACTACTTACATATTCAATGCACATTTACTACTCAGTGTGTGTGAATGTACAGGGCATCTATTGTATAATTACCCTTGTCAGTTGCTAGGAGGCAGTGAGCAACGAACACAGTCCCTTATGTTCACAACTTTCACAGACGATTGGAGAATGCAGTAAATCCATTATGTTACACTCTGATGTGCATGCAGTAATTGGAGGTCATAGAGAAGCATTTTGGGTACGAGGTTTTAGGGAAGCAACTCTCTGTTGCATTCAACAAACTTGAGAGCATTCTTATGTATTAAAATTGACTTTCTAAGAATCTCAGTGTGTGATAGTAGACGTGTTAGTCTCTCTGGGTCTCAGCTTTCTCACATATCAAAGAAGAAACAAGGAGTCTGTGTTCCTGTTTCTCTGGATTCTGCTATGTTATGATATGTCAACTGTGGCGCAGAGGGAGCCATCTCTCTCTAGTTTCCCTGCTGCATATCATTATGATGGGCTTGTGAACCAATATAGATTTGATGGACAGAACATACGCCATCTGCACACTTAAGGAAAAGGATTCATGGAAATTTAGCTTATAATGGAACCCAGTAGGATTTTGCACATTATATGAGATATGATGCAGTGGTGTGAAATTAAATAAGGAATTTGTGGAGAGCTATTTGTTAACCATTTCTATGCTGGAAACCAATCTACACATGACTGGAATGAGACAGGACCATTACATGGAGAAACTGGCAAACAAGAATAAAGAAAAAATTATTTTACTTCTTCAAAAAAAAAAACCAGGAGAGGAGCCAAGGTGAGGGTGTCCTGCCCCTGCTGGGAACCAGAGCATCTTAGAGTAAGATCATGCAAACAACACTGCTCTTAAAAAACAACAGGACAAGCCTGTGGTGGTGGCAAACACCTTTAATCCCTGCACTCAGGAAGCAGAGGCAGGTGGATCTCTGTGACTGAGTTCCAAGACAGCCAGGGCTACACAGAGAAACCCTGTCTAGAAAAACCAAACAGGACACAAAGCAAAACTGAACACCCAGGCTCAAGTGCCACAGTCAGGAGCCAGAGCCCAGGAATTGCCTAGCTCAGAGCCATACCTGTCTTTCCTCAGTTCCCAGAAAACTAGGGCAAGTAAGTGTGCAAGAGAACCGTATTAATACTAAACACACGCCAGAAAGGAGCACGGTGGGATGTCCTGCACAGACTAGAACCTTCTACAGGCAGGTGCCTCAGCTCAGAGACTGAGGACAGGCTTCCTACTTTGAGGTGCAGTACTTTAACTCTTCCAGGAGTACCTCCTTTTGCTCATCTCCAGTTTCCCACCACCCCCATGGCACCTAACACATGCTGGGAGCTCAACACATGACAATCCCTGTGGCTTTTACCCTGGGGCCACCATTCCCACACTGGGCCACTGTCCTAAGGAGCCCTATAAGCCTCACTGGTTTTAAATTCTGTTTCGCGTCCAAGTTCAAAGCTCCCCACTTACTCTTCAGAGTTGGCAATGTCGTCATACATCATCACTATGATCTGCTCATCAGGAATTCCATTCCGGTGAATGATCTGGTAGGCGTGGCATGCGTCTGCCTGGAAGAAATGGTTCCCTTGGCTTTTAGATACCACAGGGGAGGTGGCCCATTTTGAGTTATTTCTATCTTACAGAAGGCTCCCTACCGGTCAAGGTTTGAAATGATTATTTTTTACAACATTCATTTTTTTTAACTTCAATTTTAAAAGGTCCCCCCACTCTTATTATCCACATACGTATCTGATAGCAAGCTAGTACTATCAGGCACATGTGTGTAAATACATGGGCACAGATATGCATAAATACATAGGCACAGGTGTGCATACACAGTCACACCTGCAGATTGACAGGCCCTTGAAAGTCCTAAGCAACTTGTTTTCATATTTCATACCACATGAAAGTACAAAAGCATGGATTCAGGTCTCAAATAGAAGGCCCCAGAAAAAAATGAAGCAACAAGTTCACAGCTTCTGATTCATCCAAGAGTCACTGTTCAGGCAAGTGTGACATCTCAAAGTCCAGCTCAGAAGGCAGGCTTGTGAGGCACGCCTGTAATCCCAGCCCTTTGGAAGTATATACAGGAGAAACAGGAGTTCAGGGCCAGTGTGAACTACACAGCAA